CGTAGATTCAGAATTTCGACAAATCAGACCTCGCTGACACGTCAAATTTGGGCTAAAGGCCAAAAACTACGCAACTTAACGCTTTTCCGCAGTTTTTGCCTTTTAGCCCAAATTTGACGTGTCAGCGAGGTCTGATTTGTCGAAATTCGGAATCTACGCATACGATTCCCTTATTAGGGAAATATTTTCGAGCTCTACGGCATTGCCTAGATGCCTTTCCAGCAAAAAAAGGTGCGCAAATGTCCAGGTGCGCAAAAAAACGTCGCATTTGTCCCACCCCCGTCATATATAATGCTCGTCGTCATTTTTTTGCAATAATTTTTGCTAAAAGTTCGGTAATTTTTCCCAGCATGCATTTTGAAAACACGCATTACTCGCGAGGGAAAAAACTCTACATGAAAATTGTTTACAACTCACATTCCGTGCGAACAGTCGGTGCGAATTCCCATGTCATTGTCTCATCTCGATTCACATTCACTCGCCCGATTATCGATTTCGGACCCCCGTCGCCCAGATACGACAACTCGAACGAACCATCATTGCTCACTATTAAGTTGGCGTATTATTGGCGTTGGCGTATTGTGGGGGGTAGGTATTTTGGCGTTGGCGTATTATTGGTGTTGGAGTATTATTAGCGTTGGCGTATTATTTTGGCGTTGGCGTATTGTTGGCGTTGGCGTATTATTGGCGTTGGCGTATTTTTCAAAACTTTTTTAAAAATAAGGCCGCCATCAACAAAATTTCTATTTAAACTATTAAAAAGCTTGATTTTCTCTGCAAATGGCTTTTAGGAAGTTCTTGAAAGTAGTTGTTTTGTGAATTTTCAAAGGCGCAAAGGCGAGCACCCAAAAATGCCGAAGTCGCAAGTTTGCACACTTTCTTCAATACAAACCAATTTTAGTGTCAAAGTAAAAAAGATAGAGCTTATTTGATTACATAAGTATGTAAAATTTGAAAACGGTTGGTCCATCCATTTTCTTTAAAACAGCAATTGAAAATTTTATCGAAAAATGCGTTTTTACCGAGCTTTGAGGCGAGGTTTGAGCTTTCTTTCAAAAGCCATTTTGTAGAGAAATTATAGATATAGTTTATAGGGCTATGGGTTTGGACTCAAAGCTTAGCCACGTCCCATCAATTGAAAGTTTAGCCTGTCCCATGTTGCTTACCTTGAATCGTACACCAAAAATTATCTTTCCAAATTGTGAGAATTTTGAAAAACTTAACGAAACTTGCTTAAAAACCTTTCTAATGTTTTTTAGAACTAATAACTATTCGAATTTTTCCCCAAGCCTGTCCCTATAGTACTTACCTTGAATCGTGGCACATTCCACTCGAGCCTCTTCACGAAACAGAGATCCCAGGGTTTTGCGTGAGCTCAGAAATTGTTTTGCCATTAAACGGTCGACAGTCTGAATTGATTGATTCGTCTGATTGTTTAATTGACTTTTAGAAATTCTATCAGGGAAATTCTATTCTATCTAAAAGTTCTAGTAGAAGTTCGTTTTGTTAAATTTTTGGGTACTTGTGGAGTATCCGGGGGGTCTTTCAATCCGGTGGGGTAAAATTTTAAGATCTAAGATTAAGATCCGGTGGGGAGTAAAATTTTATATACGTTATAAGTGATTTGGTGGCAAATTCCCTTCAAATGTAAAGATATTCAATTTATTCGAGGTGATTACTTGATTACGTGATTCGAGGTGATACTCGGGGGTGGGACAAATGCGACCTTTTTTGCGCACCTGGACATTTGCGCACCTTTTTCTTGCTGGAAAAGGCCTTAGGAAAGGTCGTGAGCTTCGAAAATATTTCCATATAAGGGAATCGTATGCGTAAATTCCGAATTTCGACAAATCAGATCTCGCTGACACGTCAAATTTGGGCTAAAAGGCAAAAACTGCGGAAAAGCGTTAAGTTGCGTAGTTTTTGGCTTTTAGCCCAAATTTGACGTGTCAGCGAGGTCTGATTTGTCGAAATTCGAATCTACGCATACGATTCCTTTATATGGAAATATTTTCGAAGCTCTACGACCTTTCCTAAGGCCTTTTCCAGCAAGAAAAAGGTGCGCAAATGTCCAGGTGCGCAAAAAAAGCTCGCATTTGTCCCACCCCCGATACTCGATCAAAAACGCAACTTCTACAAAATTTTTTTATGTCATTATTAGAAATGTTGATACTATCCTAGTTGGCAGATCACTTTTTTTTCTTCAAAACCATTTTTTGGGGTAGTTTTATGTGTTGATATTTGGCCTCCTGGTCTAGAAGTAAATTCGATAGATTTTTACAGGTCGTATTCATTTTCACTGTTACAAATAGTCACTGTTACAAATAGTCACTGTTACAAATAGTCACTGTTGTACTTCACAAATTTATTTAATTATTATGTTTGGTACGACGCGCAAACAGTGGTAAAGCCATATTAACAAAAAAAACATTTTTCGCATTTGGTTGGTTTTGAAAGTTTACCCCGGATCTTAAAATTTTACCACCCCGGATATTGAAAGACCCCCGGTACTTCCACAAGTACCAATTTTTGATATTCTATTCTATATTCTATATTCTATCATTTACTCACCTCATCGATATCCTGAAACAATGTTTGCAATAATTGTCGACTTGAGAAAATGATCGCCCACGAGCCAGAGATATCAGTGTATTGCGGTGAAGGGCAGGCATTAAAAACTGAATAAATAAACTTGTGTCGGGAATATGATAGCTGTTTTAAATCATTTCCCACAAATTATTTATTTGTTAAGTGTTTTCTAAAGTGTGGACCTCTTACCGTACCCCTAATTTCTCCGACATTTCACAGCATTTCTTCTCTTTGGTAAAATTCGTTGTCGAATTTTTGTTTTGAAAAAGATTGCTCAATATTTCGTCTGTTTATTGTTAAATCAACTTCGTCAGCTTCGTCAACTGCTCAAATTGTATCATCAACATCAAGGATGTCAAGAAAACATATATTAAAACGCCTTCGCCGACTTTATCGCCTCCAGAAGCTCGGACTTCTATGCTACCGGCATAAATAAACTTGCTTCTCGTTGGTAAAAAGGAACCGTATTGGAACCGTATTAGATCAAAATAGGTAAATGTTAGTAAATGTGTTAATTTAATTTTAATGGTTCTTATTTCGATTAATAAAGTTTTTCTTGGATCAAGTTATGGGATTTGAAATATTCGAGTTGAAAACGCTCCGGACTCCGTTGAAAACACTCCGATTTATTTCCGGACAACCTATTGGTTTGTCCAGTTATGCATGCGCGTTTTTACTATTTTGTAAATTTCTCAAGATATCGAAAAGATGTATATGAGTGTTATATATCATTCGAAAGCTGAAGATCTCCTCTACATTTTGATATAAAAACGTTTTTGAATTTATTCAACTTTTTGGGAAATTGACTACACAAAGGGAGAGGTCGTTTTCAAAAAAACCCATTCCAGCTTAGCTGTTCCTCAAGTTTTATGGTGTAAAATAACCACCCAGAAAAAAAGATCCTCTGAAATTGTTATATTTTTAAAAAAGTTGTATAGATATATCTATTGGCCAAACATCAAACGGTTAACTCAATTTGAGAGGAGCCAAAACTTGATCCAAAGACATCCTTCCATTCTTGGCCACATCTTCTTCTGTGCAGTCAATTTGCCCAAAAGCTGAACAAATTCAAAAGCTTTTTATATCAAAATGTAGAGGAGATCTTCAGCTTTCGAATAATACTCATATATATCTTTTTCTCGATTTCGGTATCTTGAGAAATTTACAAAATAGTAAAAGACGCGCATTCATAACTGGACAACCCAATAATACGTATATGTTGGGATCCGGAAATTTCGCCTAACGCCATTTCGCCATTTTTTAAAAGTATACGCATATTTGATTACCCTAGAATAGGTAGATAAAAAGGTAGATAAAAAGTATCAAAACAACCACTCAAAACATTAGATCCAACTAAACCAGGATAAAAGTTGGGGCAACTTTTATCCTGGTTTAGTCCCGGAGGGCGTCCAGCCACCAAAATACCAAAAATGCTATTTGCGATAAAGAAAATAAACGCAAAAAGAAAAGATAAAAATTTTCTAAATGCACGTTTATAAAACCATTAAATTTATCAATTTGATTAAAATACAATTTTGATTAGAATTTGATTTGATCTGATTTGATTAAAAGATTGTGGAAAGAATAGTGGCGGAGGATAATATAAAAATGCGACACTAATTCGCCTTTAAAAAAAATTTGCTTAACAAGCTTTTAAAATATGCATTTAATAGCTTTAGGGGAAATGGCGTTAGGTGAAATGGCGTTCCGCAAAATGTTTTTTAGGCGAAATGGGCGCTAACCGCTAATAAGTTATATCCGATTTAGACTCAACAATAGTTTTAACAATTGCTGCGTTGATAAATCATGTTTTTGTCATGTTTTTGTCATTTTTTAACAGTTTTTGACAGTTTTTCATGCGTCTTTGCACTAAATCGCTTTTTTCAATCAAAAACAAAGTCAAAAACAAAGTCAAAAACAATAGTTTCACCAAAAGCCCGTAACTTTTACCGAATTTAGCCACTTTTTAAGCGAAAGTATACTAATTTTCAGTTTTATCATCCCAAAATTACATCAAAAACTTTCAAAAGCATCACAAAACATGATTTATCAGCGCCGCAATTGTTAAAACTATTGTTGAGTTCAAGTCGGATATATTAAGTTGGAAAGAAAGTTCTAGGAAAAAGAAAAAGTCGTGGAGTGATCTTTCAATTGGAGTCTAGACGCATTTGTGGTGCAATTAGCAAACTAGCACTCTGAGTAAATGCTATTAGGTTGGAAAGAAAGTTCTAGGAAAAGGTTTGCACAGTGATTTCTCAAAAACCAAACCATCAATTCTTCCCAGATTTTTGATAAACTTGACTATATTAAGGTGTTAAAGATCAATTTGCATATTAAATTGGCAAAGAGGCGAAAGTATTTTTTTAGGAAGACAGTTTTTCATGCGTCTTTTCACTAAATCGCTTTTTTCAATCAAAAACAGAGACAAAAACAAAGTCAAAAACAATAGTTGCACCAAAAGCCCGTAAATTTTACCGAATTTAGCCACTTTTTAGGTGAAAGTATACTAATTTTCAGTTTTATCATCCCAAAATTACATCAAAAACTTTTAAAAGCATGACAAAAACATGGTTTATCAACGTAGGAATTGTTAAAACTATTGTTGAGTTTAAGTCGGATATAACATATACAACAGATTGAATCCGATCCGATACTCAAAAAAACTTGATAGAAATCTTGAAACATTACTTCAGTGAGAGATCCGAGAGCCGTTGCCGTCTTCGGATCGATATTCGACATGAGCCCGCCAGCATACGGATTTCCAATATCATTGATTGTCGGAATGGACACTTGAGAGATCCACTGAATAGCTTTTGAGATTAAATTGAGTAAAAAAAAATGGCAAGTTAACAGTAGATAGCAAAAGTTTCCGCGTTTTCTCTTTCTCTACTTACCCTTTCACCCAGTTGCTTTGCGGTGAGAGCGATCGTTCGAAAGAATTGCTCGACTGGGTCTGCTGTGAATGTGAAATGGAAAATTGCAAGCATCACAAAAGCATATAACCATTTTGACATCATTTTATCACATCTTTCGTTAAAAGCTAAATTTAGAATGGTAATAAAAAGGTTTTCAAGACGTTTTCTTAAAGTTAAAGTTAAAGTTAAAGTTTTCAAGACGAATCTGCCTCGAAATTGTAAAAAATTCGTTAAAATGAGTAATCGAGAGTTCTCCTCTTTTTTTTGGAGTGAATGGGTTGATCGTTTATGTCTCTTTTTTCTATTTTTGCTCAAAAATCTCACCAAAATGCCTTTGTTGTTTGGGGAAAGTCTAAAAAGAGAGGAAAACCAGTCCGATTTTCATGAATACTTTCATTTTAGTCTGTTTTTTTCTCTTTTTTCTCTTTTTCTTTTTTCCCTTTTCAATCTGTTTTGCAAATTCAGTGTTTCACAAACTTTCTTGATTTAAATTTAATTTATACAATTGCAGGAAAAGGAGAGAACTTGGTGCGCTAGATGATTTGTGTTTCGGTTTCTGGGCACAAAGTACCCGTGATTCTGTACATGTACATGTATTGGAAACACTGTGTTTATAAAGTTAAGAGCATCTTTTCTAGCGTACAAAAGTATCCATTTAGCTGACAATGAGCTTATTGTCAGTCAGCTTAAAGATGCGATCTAGTGGGGGATTCGAGTGTTGAGCTTCTGCGGAAACTTTAGAAACCGTAAAATAGTCATCAACTCGGCTGGGTGCACTACTATTAGAGAGAATACGGTAGCTGCAATTTCAACTGTAATCATTTAATTTTAAATAAGATTTACCGAAGTCATTATATTGTAAATAGTTTATCCGGCGGATTTTCTTGAATCTAAATCTAAATCTAACTCCGAAAAGTGTTTAGAATTTGAATAATTTTGGGTTCTCTCGGCGCTTCACACATACCGTATTTCTTCGAATAGAAGACCGGGTAAAGAGTATGATCGCGTACTCCTGCGTAGCAGCCCTTTTTAAAATTTCTTTTCTGCATAAAAGCTTTCAATCAAGTGCTATAGAGCTGGAAAATGGCTCAAAAATACCACATGAGCTAACAGATTTTTGAGTCATTTTCCAGCTCTATAGCACTTCATTGAAAGCTTTTATGCAGAAAAGAAATTTTAAAAAGGGCTGCTACCAGGAGTACGCGATATACTCTTTACCCGGTCTTCTATTCGAAGAAATACGGTACTTAAGTAAGAAATAGACGGGAAAACGATCGAAACAAATCCCCAAATAGCACAAAAAAACAAAAATTCATTTTCAGTCTGAACACATCACTCTTAAACTTCTTCACCTTCTTCAACTTTCATATCTTACAATTTTTTACAACTTTTCATTCTATTCTTTCTTTTTCTACACTAATCTAGACTCAAACGATGCTACGACAAAAACAATAAGCTAAACGGTCTTTCAATTTTCAATTTTCAATTTTCAAACTGTTGTATTCTTTCTAGTTCAATCTACTTTCATTTTTTGTTGTGTTGTACTTCTTGAACACTTTTGTTTTTGTGTTTGTATAAAGATTGGCACATTTTTTTTCCTCATTATTAAGCACAAAATATTGAGTTTTAAAAAACGCACAATGTCATGTGTAAACTAAAGGAGATAAGTTTGACAAAACTCCTCAAAAGACTCTAAAAAGTGGCCCTACCTTGTGGTTCCATGGTGTAGCGGTTAGCACTCAGGACTTTGAATCCTGCGACCCGAGTTCGAATCTCGGTGGAACCTAGCTCTTTTTCCTTTTCTTGAAAATTTTTGATTTAAATGGCTGAAATGAGCTTTTTTGGAGATAAAGGATTTCAAAAACGGACGTTCAATTTGAATGGTTTCAAAATCAGACGTAACATATACCGTATTTTCTCTAATAGTAGTGTACCCAAAGCTTCGCATAAATTCCTCGAAATCTCGAGAACCGCTTATCAGAACCTATCGATGTGGGGTCGGAAAATGGAGCTGACGATGAGATCTTGTGGGGGATTAGAGAGTTGAGCTTCTGCGAAAGATTGGAAACCGTAAAATAGGCATCAACTCGGCTCGACGGGGTGCACTACTATTAGAGAGAATACGGTAATTATGATGCACCTCGTAAGTTAACACTCAAAGAACCACTCATATCTCGGCGCTCAGCCATTTGTTTCTGCGCGCTTGTCGGGGTGCACTACTATTAGAGAAAATACGGTACTGTTTACCGTATTTTCTCTAATAGTAGTGTACCCAAAGCTTCGCTTAAATTCCTCGAAATCTCGAGAACCGCTTATCAGAAGCTATCGATGTGGGGTCGGAAAATGTAGCTGACGATGAGATCTTGTGGGGGATTAGGGTGTTGAGCTTCTTTGAAAACTTGGAAACCGTAAAATAGTCATCAACTCGGCTCGACGGGGTGCACTACTATTAGAGAAAATGCGGTAACAACAAAATCATGGAAAACGCATAACCGACAAAGAGCTTCGTAAAATTTACGTGTGAGTGCGCTAGAAAGGTTGCGTTTACATGTTTCTTTAAAGCTTAAAGTTCACATTTAAAGCTTTTACAGAAGCCAACAGCTTAAACAAACGAAATCAATCAAAAGCTGATCAATTGAAGAAGAACAAGATTTTCTCTCGGAAAATCTAATTGAACGTGGAATTTGCCTTGTTCTAATTAAACAAATAAAACCATAATTTTTGAAATATGAAACACGTAACTGTAATCGTAAAATTAAAAAATTTTAAGGACTTTTAAAACCTTGATCCTTTCCGGGGATTTGCTCACCTGCTTAAAGGATTGTTGCTCACCTTTTTCGTGCTTAAAGGATTGTTTATTGGTAAAATTTTGATAAATTTGATAAACTTTGAAGAAGATATTTTGAAAACTTAATGTTTTAGTGATTCAAAATTGGCTTAATCACTGACTTTACAGAAAATAGTGCGTTAAACGATGTTTTGGCGGCTTTAAACAAAGATCTGGCTGGCTTACCAGAGTGTAGAGAGGCTTACCAGAGAATTTCTCGAAAAAATACACAAATTTAAGGCAAAAATTATCCCAGAAATTCGGGCATAGTGACGCTCAAGAGCCACCTCAGTCGGGTTTTCGAGAATGGTGCCGCCGCCTCGAAGCCATCACCAACGAAGTCGACCTCAACGAAGCCCTCCAGGAACTCACCACCGACGTCAAGAAGAAGAACGCCACTGAAGACGATCAACGGCCGCCTCGTCCGCCTCGTGCCCAAACCACCCGACGAGCACCGCCGCCGCCAAGAAGAACCACCTACGACGCGAAGGACGCTGCCCGGATCCAGAAACTGTACCGATCATCGCGCCTCCGTGCCTTCCGTGAGGTCATCGAAGCCGGATCGAGGCGGTGGCACCATTCTGAGGTGAAGCTGTCTTGAAATCCAATCGATTGAAGCTGCTCATTTCATTCAGTCTACCAATTGAAACTCGTATTTAATTGGGCTAAACTTTTAAGTAAATCCAGAAAACATATAAAATTTCAGCTGTCTCAATCAGAATTTGAAATTGAAGGAGCTAAATGATGAGATCGAGTCCTCAACCCCAACAACCCAGTCCTCTTTCCTCAAAATTGGAGAACAGCAGAACAAGTCAATCAATCCAAACAACAAATCACACAAATCGATGATCGCCAAGAAGCCATGGAAATTAAAAATTCAGCAAGCGAACTAAAAATTTTTATCTCAAAACGATACATTTAGTTTCGAAAAGCTAAAAAAAACATGAAAGCAGCAAATTTTGACCATTTGACCATTTGAAATTTTGACCTAACTTTAGTTCCAGCTTAGATCATACCAATTTTTTTTAGCCGTAAATGAGAAAACACTATAGTTTGAGCATAATTAGAAACATTTTTATTTGCTCACTTGTCAAATATTTCAACTGTTCACCTTGGAATCTTTTCCTCTTCTTCATCAGTTTTTCGAACCAAAAATACAGGGTGTTCCAAAAAACAATATGGTTCCAATTAGGTTCCAATATGGTTCCCATTTGGTTCCAATATGGTTCGGATATGGTTCCAATACGGTTCCAATATGGTTCCAATACGGTTCCGATTTGGTTCCGATATGGTTCCAATATGGTTCCGGGGGTTTTGGGTTTTCCAAAAAAAACAACAAAAAAGAAGTGGAACATCGAACCGCCTAGAATGAACAATTTTTAACCGAATGCTTAAACGATTCGTGCAAATTATATTGGCGTTTCTTTTACTTTTTCTTTTATTTCATTCACAGTACTGCTAACAAAAGATTCATAGAAAAAAAAATCAGATCTGGATTTGGAGATTCGGAAAAATTTTTGTGGTACAGATCTGGGTTAGACGTCCATCCACTTCTCATCGATAGCCACCTCGTGCGGGTCGTCCGAGCCTTGCAAAGAGTTCAGGGTTCTGAAAATATCAATATTCGGTTGAAAGATCATTAGGCTTTTGGTTAAGATCGAGCTTCCAAATTTTGGAAAAACAAAAACAGTTTTTCCCAACCCTGGTCATAGCCAAACTGGGCAATCTTGCTTAACTTGCAGCAAATTTATACACCAACCTGCCAAAGCCGATTTTTGCCATTGTGTTCATCCTTTGCTCTTTTCGAAGAGACTCAGCAAAAAATTTGTATTCCTTTTGTCATTTTTTCATTGCTTCAACTCCTTTTTATACATTTCCCTTATCAGTTGACCACATTTTTCCCTCATTTCACCTCAACAGATTTGTGTTCAGCTAATACGTCTAAATTCGTGGTTAATCAAAAGATTACTAAACATTTTGTTTGTGAAAATTCGTGGGATTCACTGAAAAGTATTGGATTTGATTATCTGAAATTTGAAAGTGAATTCTTTTTCAGAGTTTTCTCAAAGGTTTTCTCAAAGCAATCATTAAATCAGATATTAAATATTCGGAAAAATTTTTGTGAGCTATGAATTCAAAAAAGAGTTATGGAAATTTGGAACTTACAAGTGATTATCGACAAATTCCTTGGAACTATTATTGAAAAAAATCAAGCACAAAAGTTTTATGAAAGTTGTGATTGCTT